CCGCCTAGACCCAGTCTCAATTAGGCGAATGCATTTGTTTGTCATCTAAAAATGCTACTAATTCAGATGTCAGATGCCATCTTGCTTCTGGTGTCATCTATTATTAAGCCGTGAGGACCATACATCGTGATGCAAAGGCAGGTATAGTATATCGATGTTGCTATAAACGAAAAATAATCTATCATTCATATATTTTAGTAACAAGTTACTTAGAATCTATTTATTTATATAAATTGCACAACTTTAAAATCATTCATGTAACCAGATAACCAGATGTATTTATAGATTATAAGGACTGTTTGACAGCGAAGAAAACTGACGAAACATCATTATTATAGATTTTCAAATGATTAGAAATATAAATTAATAAAATAATTTGCATTATACCATTCTGATTGTCCCCTACAATTATCAGACATAAGGTCGACTTTTAAAGGGCCATGCTTTCGATAATTAAAATGATTTAAACTTTCTGAATCTAGCTTCACTTAGCCTGAAGTTTTGGATTTCTCTACGTTTAGTATGTGTGCATGGTGATGGCAATGTTTGCAAAACAAACAGTTTAGGGCAAATATACAGAGAAAAGCTTTTCACTGGTAACCATGCATTTTATTTTTGACTTAAAATTTAGTTTTTCGTTGTCCAAAAAATAAAGAAGATAGAGCAATGAATTAAAAAGATAAACATTTATCAAAAACATCATTTCCTAAAATATCCAAATTCCACTATAATATCTTTAAAACTATTGCAGTTATTGAAATCTGAAATTAGTAACGTTTTTAGCCACCCGAAACGTTTGTTCATTTGACTTGTTGGACCACATGGCCCTGTAAAATGCTAAGGTAACGTACACTGACAGAAAGGTTATGGTGAGAACATAATGGCACTTTAGTGAGAACATTATGGCTTTTTATCCTGCACTTATAACCGCGCCGTGCCATGTCGCTAATGCAATCGTTGCGGTGCATTTTTCACACGAAGATGGACAAGTCATGGGGGTTGTATCAGCACTGATATATTTAATCCTTGACCCGTGTTTACTTGCTCCGATACACACCACACACCACTGCAAACCTTAACCATCAAATTTTTCATTTATCTACCTTCCTATCAAAACCCTTTGAGAGATGAGCGTGGGGCATGGGAGCGTTTGAGTAAGTCCTTTGGCTTTCCCTTTTAGACTATAACATGCAGTGCTTTTACTCGTGTTAACTATTTCTCCCCTATGCCCTTTTCTTTTGAGTTTTTTTTTTATAATAATTACGCATCGTATACTATATTAATCAAATACTATCCTTTGAGTGACATGATGTACAGCAATATTTAGCGATTAAAGCATTGGTGTAAGCATGGGATACAGTCCGTTCGCTGTGGGAGGCATAATTTAACACTATCCATTTGCACTGCTCAAGGTTTGTTTTCGATTATTCACCCTCAAATGAAAAACAAATCATTACGGACCAGACAGACATAATTTTAAATGTTCTAAGTGACTTTCTTTACTTTTCGCACGACAAACGTTCCACAAACACTCCAATTTATTTATTTCCAGATGGTGATATACATGTCACTTAGCAGCGCATTGTTTCTCTTTAACTGTATTTAAACTGTTTGTAAATGATAAACTTTCACCTGCATCCTCGATAAGCTAAACTTATTTTTGCCCAGGTGAAGATGGGAACCTCGCAAAATCATATAGTATTAGACATCAGGTCAATTTTGAAGATACTTGCGTCGACTTTACTGAGCTGGACTGCGTGCACATTAACTTGATGCATTGGCAATAACACACCCCATGTCAAATTGTTTCTAGAACATTCTACACTGTCCATAAAATATATGTCATGAATTCATTTATTAGATAATGTTTTAGTTCCCGATCGATTTGACGAACATTTAAATACATAATCATTTAAAAACATAAGTATTTAAATTACATTTAAATTATACATAATTCGGTATGACATTTCTACTTTATTTCAGTGTTGAATCTTTTAAATTAGATTAAAAATATATTAAACTAAGATAATATATTAACTAGACTACACCGTACAACTGAATGCTTACAAGAACCTGTGTGAACACTATGTTCAATCGACATATACACGCATGGTACAGACCCAGCATAGTCTAAATCCGCCTAGGCCCAGTCTCAATTAGGCGAATACATTTGTTTGTCATCTTAACATGCTACTAATTCAGAGGTCAGATGCCATCCTTGTCATCTGTTATTTAGCTGTAAAAACCATACATGGTGACACAAGGGCAGGTATAGTATATCGATGTTGCTATTAACGAAAAATAATCTAGCATTCATATATTTTAGTGACAAGTTAAGGGCCATTCCTTTTTATTTATTTATTTTTTTTGCTGTATTCTGTTTTAGGAGGATATTTGACACTTTAAATGTATTTTTTTAAAGTAAAAACTTTGAGAGCCCCATTTTTGCTGTGTTTATTTTTTGTTTGTTTGTTTGTTTTTTTGGAAAAAAAATTTGAAAAAATTAAGTAGGCATCTGGGAAGGACGTTTTGTTCACTGCTAAATCACATGTAAATTAAAGTTAAATAATTATATTAAATAGTATATTTACGAAGATAAGTTTGATGAATAAAATCCAACATCACAAAAGCATTATGTGGTGATAATAATATTTTATTTTCAAGCATTACTAAAAATCATTATTAGGAAGACATGAAAATGTATGAACTTTCGCAAATATCACACAAACCAGCTCAAAGTGATGTGAAAGTCTTAATATTATTTAAGTTTTTTAATGTCAGCATAAAACTAAAATTAATAGCTAATTATCTACCTAAATTTTGAAGTACCAAAAATTCTTAAAAGATTATTATTGTATACATGTATGTTAACTACTTATATAAATTCACTTACATTGCTGTACCTATCAGTCCTCAAAGCATGTAACTATCAAAATACTAATTACCATCAACTGATATGCAAGTTCATTATACTTTCAATATAACTAAATGCAACAGAATGTGTTTCACTTTATGCTCACTTACAAGTGTCATTTACTCAACCTCTTGGGCACCCTTCACATTTTTCTGGATTACTGATAAGTCTTTCTCTAAACCTTCTTTGTCTGATAGCACTTTGAGAGAGTGACATGGTGACAGATCTATGACACTGACATAATGCTCATATGCTAAATTTCATCAACTTATATGCTTCGGATCCAAAACTGTTAAAGGAAGCCACTATTTTGATTTAGTCAATCTCTCAATGGTCACAGATCAACAAAAAGTTATCTGAATGGATCATGGCTGTAAATTCCATATTAAGTTTTAACCTAATTAGTCCATAATATGTAACTTTCTGATCGAGAAAGTTGCCTAGATTAGTCATTCCAATAAACAAATTTCTGATAGATAAAATCACAACCGAACATGGCATTGTCTGATCAAAGAAGTTACCTAGTTAGGTCAATGCTTGATTGCAAATAGTAGAAATTCCTGACATTTTTATGGACTAATTGGTGCAAGATAATATCAAATTCTATCATACCTTTCCTTGATCATGTTTCAACATTAACTATTTACACATTTGATAAGGTGGCTTCTTCTGTGATCTCATTTCAAAGTATTACATCAGTATGACATTTTTGAGCAAGCGTCTAAATTTCATGTAGACCTATATAACAATCATTTCAACATCATTGAAATAATGTGCTATTTAATAAAAAGACAGCAATAAGCAGAGTTTGGAAAATCTTTAAATTCCAAAATTTTAATTCATCTTGAAGAAAGGAAAGGGATGTCATTGTTCACCTGTCTGCATTGTATTCACCCAAGATATATGAAGATTCCTTCCGAGATGCCTAATGTCCTTCCATAACAATTTTATTAATTTTGGTTAAATAACCCACTGGAATGTTTTAAGTCAAAAATTTTATAGGTTGCTGACACATACCATATTTGAGGAGAATATGAAGTAAAAAGTTTTTAGCGTTTGTAATTACTGAAAAAAAAAATTAAAATAGGTACCAAAATCACCTGGGAAGGACATTTTAATACTAATTAATCCATTATTTTCTAATCAAATAAATTTTAATGTAATGCACTTGAAATAACTGATATTTAATGTCTTTAGCCTATATTATTAAAAATAATCAATATTTTGAAAACTATATCAAAAATAAAAATGACCTTTCCAAACACTATTTTTCAATTTTTCCAGACAAAAGTGAGAATAAAATCACAATTAATCATCAAAACCTACAATTTCTTTTGGAGTCTGGTGTCTAGTGTTGTCTAGTTTCAAAATTGATAAATTTTGTAAGTATAAATCTTTTTTGAAATTTTAAGGTCTGCGGACCAAATACCACGTATGAAAAACGCGCAATGATTGCAAAGCAAACAATTTAGGACACAAATACAGAGATAAACAAACTTTTCACTGGTAACCATGCATTATATTTTTGACCTAAAATTTTAGTTTTTCGTTGTCCTAAAACTAAAGAAGAGAGAGTCATGAATTAAAAAGTCAAGCATTTATTAAAAACGTAATTTCCTAAAATATCCAAAATCCCACTGCTATATCTTTAAATCGATTGCAGTTATTGAAATCTGGAAATAGTAACGTTTTAAGCCACCCGACATAGCGAAACGTTTGTACATATGTCTTTTTGGACCACATGACCCTAAAAAATCGTGTACTCACGTACACTGAGGGAAATAATATGGTAAGAACATTATGGCTCTTTAGCAAGAATATTATGGATTTTTATCCTGCATTTATAACTACAGTATATATGTTGACCGTTTTATTCTGACTTTATCCATCTTTGCATTGACATAGGGGAATCCAAAAACAATACCTTTAAGCAGTTTAACTATATATATTAGTCTTAGATAAAATTAGTAGGACGCTTAATTATAACTATATGACTAATAAAAAGGCTCATAACACGGTCTGACCAATATTATACGGTACAGTAACTTTACGACCGACTTGTTTTAATCGCAGACAACTATCTTAACACAGGAATATACACTTATCTGTCTAATTATCTTTTGTCATTTGAACGGTTGTATAAGTCCCGGATGGTAATATTGCCGTTACTGAACCGAAGATCTTTAACATATCTGGCAGTCTGGAGATATTTAAAGTCGCTTTGAACGTCTCTGTGGGAGGAAGTACATCACAGGAACCCTGCTTGGAACCAAAGCACACTTCGAAGCGCAGAGGAAGGATGTTTGGAAAACCGTCAAAGGACTGGCGCCAGTTAACCGTGCACTTTTCCTTTTGACATACGATTGACGGCCGCTTACCTAAAATGCATAATTTGCACCATTCAGCGCTTCTTATGTGGTGTATGTTGTATCCACATTATGAGTAAACATAGCAATGTGATATGTAACATGAAAGCTCATTATCTCTAGAAAACCATGGTTCAATGGTTAAGGTTATGCATAAAACAAAACCAATAAAAAATGATCATGGACAATTTAAAGTAGTTATTTTAATGGTGAAAATAATTAATCTGGTATGTATTAGTAATAGAAAAGGTAGTGATAGCAGTGAAGGTTCCCAAATTCTGAAAACGCTGTAATAAGAAAATACATGTATCTAATGAGCATGCATATATCTTTTAAAGCTATGTCCTCGTGAGATTTCTATATTATGGGGTTTTCTTATATTTTACATGCATATTTGACACTACTGCGCCCACATTACCACTAAACTAAACAGCAAAGCTGACAAATATACAGACACCATACAGGAAACAAGGCAGCAAAGCTGATAAATGTTCAGACATTCAGACGCAAAAAAGTGCACCTAATAATATTGTGGCCAATTCTGATGCACTATCACACTTTAAAACTTTAAAACAGCATAGTCACTCTTACCCTCTTACATTATGTACTACAGGTAGCACATAACATTGAAATGCTAAGGTGTGAAAAATTAAATATTCAAACAAAAAGAAAACTAATCATACTGATTTTTGAAAACAACCTGCTTCTTTGCAAAACAAAGTAATTTGCACAGTAAATTTAATGTAAAACAAAAATATGGTTTAGAAGTAATGGGGCGAAAGTCACCAAAAATGTGCAAAAATCAGAATAATTACTCGTCATGCCGATTTTCGAAAGCAACCTCAGTAAATTTAATGTAAAACAAAAATATTATTTGGGGCGAACGTCATGTGTCGGACAGCGACAGCGAGGGCAAAAACACGGAGAGACAGACCGATCAGAATATATATATATTACATACGCTCATAGTGTCTGTATATAAAAATAACCATGTTGGTTTTGTTGTTTTGGTGATTTGAAAATTTAATTTAAATACTACAGAATATTTTTCACATATTGAGTACGTTCAAAGCACATATCTTCTACATTGTCTTCAGTACATATGGCAGACACAGATTAGAAAAGATTGATTGGAGCCCAAGCGAATTTTTGTTGCCAAGGCAACTTGTTTTAAGATAAAATCGATTTGTATTGCTAGATCGCCAACACTGGCTGATGACGCAATGCGCAACAAAAGACGTTAATGCGCGACAATGTTACACAGTATAGCACAAGGACACTACCTTAAGCAGTCATTGAATTATAACGACTTTTGCTTTAAGCATATTGTTTCTTGCAAAGGTCTTCCATTATACCCACTGGGGTCTGCAGTTGAGTACCTTACATTTAAATTAATAAGAAAACACACGCACCTTAAGCAGAATTTATAAGTTACTATCCTGGATCCCAAATGTGTTTATCTGAGGGTAAGAATAGCGACGGTGCAGGTTACTTTTAAATATAATAAAATGTTTGGACTAATCCCGAGACAGGTAATGAGCCAGTAACAAAGTATTTATCATTTGGTTTTAATTTACAATAGCACTCACCTGTAACTGAAGGTGGCGTAGCCAAAATGAGAACAGAAGTGTTCTTTGGTTCACTGACTTTACCAGCTGAATTTTCGGCCATTACTTCCACGCTGTAGGATCCATCTTCTAGGGAAAGACCATCTAAGCAAACATCTGTGTGCAGTCCGGTATCGGTCCACTTCACAACGGTTCGGTTATCTCGACCCCGAACACGTATAACATACCGTTGAATGCCAACATTGTCTTGGAATCCGGACCAAGCAACACGAATACTTGAATTGGTCGACTGGTACGACCTATAAGCATGGAAAGGACTTTCGTTTCTTAAAATGGACAATACACTGGCATTTTCGGATATCGGTGGTTTGGTGATTACAGTTACAGGTTGAGCGTTGGCGACCGCCACCAGGTCGACTTCATTGCTACACCGTATGGTCACATGCACCTTTTCACCATGCGTTAGGGTCGCAGAAACAGGGCCAGAATAGCTGTTGTTGGTTGTCGGTTGCCATGGTAAAATGCCTTGGGTGCTTTCAGACCGTCCTAATGTAGATTAAATAACTTTATTAAATCTTACGTTTGCTATTATATGAAAGTGAATGTAAAAAGGCACCAAGACAAAAGTAATATAAACAAATTAGATGTTGCTTTTACATAAAAAAATGATAACCTGGGAAAACATAAAATTAGGTTCACAAAAGCAAGTATACATTATATCCACCATTGCCTATAAAATGTTTATGAAAAAAATACAAAAACGGATATAATCAAGCAATATCTACTCATCCTGCGCATTGTCCTTACCTATTGTCCATGTGCATCCGGTTACTGTCGTTTCATTGTCAAAGACTTCCCATTTAGCCACAACTTGAAACTTAGATGTTTGGTTTTCTGTTTCAAGAACAGAAATGTGGACACTGCGAATAATAGGTGGAGTCCAATCTAGGACAAGAACTTCTGAGAAAAAAGCAGCTGTGGACAAGGCGTTGTTTTCTGAAATCACTGTGGCGTAGATTGGAGTCCCATGCACTGCAGATACATCAAAGACTGCTCTCGGGGCTTTACCTATGTCAACCAGAGGTTGTAATTGGAACCCGCCTTTTGTCGTCCCAAGGCCTAGCATGTGTCTCTTTATACCGCTGTCAGGGTCATTGATTCCATGAGTTATCTCAATGGAGGAATGTCCTAACTGCCTAAGCACCGGTCCGCTAGAAAATGTTCCGAAACTTCTGTTGCAAACCATAGCAGTTGCTTCCTGGAGTCTGATTGGTTGTCCATATCTTTCTAACTGGCAAACAGATGACACTGACGGTTTCATTGAGCTGTAGACTGAGACTGAGCACTTGTTTGAAATATCTGTGCAAATAAATGGTTCTTCTGTGTCCTCACATGTTAAAGTAAGACCAGTTTGCGAGCCATCGGGGTTTGATATTACGTCCAACCTTCCATCATTGTAAAACAAAGTTTCTGGTAAGTTCAATGGAATGGTACTAAGTATACTCTCATTTGTGTTAAACGTGTAATTATTTGAACTTGAAAACTGCCAGATGACTTCTTTAAATGAGTCACACATTTGAAATGTCGGCGGTGTTATATCAATGAATAATCTGCCACTATACACCCATTCAGATGATAATCCTGCTGCATCTACACCTCTCACAGACACCCATACATTACTGCCATGAGTCAAGTTTAAACCAGACAGTTCAAAGGTGTTGTTTAGCCCAACATCAGTTATTCCACGGATATCCGCGAGACCTGGGGAAGAACCAATGGTTACTTCGTAATGGGATATGCCGGAATGGTAGTCATCATAACCTGTCCAAGAGACACCAATTGTTTCCACCGACTGCTGACTTGGCTTGTTATGAAACCAGGCTGTGTTATACACTTTACCAGCAATTGGCTTATGGTTGTCGATGGTCACACCATCTGAAGTGGACGACGCTGACAGACCAACCTTGTTATAAGCCACAATGGTCGTATAGTACCTGACGCCTTCCATAAGCTGAAGGTCAGGGGAGGTAAAGTTGGTGGAGAGCCCAAGGTCAATTGTACCAATAACGTCATCGCCTGGAAAAAGAAAACTTTTTTTATTAACCCCAAATGTAAATGCTTTATATGTCCTTATATTTCGATACCACTGTGTAAAAACATATACATGTGAAGTATATCTGTCATTTCGTATTGTGTAGAGAGTAGTCCTGTCACGTCATCAGAAAACCATATGTTGCTTACCTTCTGGAAATGTTCCAATGTACAGCTCATAGTGATCTATTTCACTTTGGGTGTCGATAAATACATCTGTCCAGTCTGCCGACAGGGTATGCGTATTTCGTGCAAATTCAACGTCAACATCACAACTGTCTCCACAGTCTATCACGTGTTTCCCTCGTCGTTGTGATGGCGGTGTTAGGTCAACCATGACACCATTTGACATGTACTCAGTGTATGTGCTAAATCCAGTCCATGCTCGGACATAGACAGCATATTTTTGTTTGTGGTTAAGAAATCTACCGTCTGTGAGACAAAATGTGAAATCATTTAAGTGACCAATGTCGAACCATGGTTGCTCTGTTGTCAAGTCAAATATACCGTTTCCGCCTGTGGAGTTGTATATACCTATGCTCCACTCATATCTTTGTATCTCGCTGGCGTTGGCTTGTGGTCCGAACCAATGCCCCGAAAGGCATTTTGAAGAACATGTAAACGCAGCATCCGATAATATTCCGTCTGCTACGACAAACTTCCTTGTGGCTGTATTTCCCTTTTCCGCGGTGCAATTAGGCAACGCTCCATCTGACATGCATTTTCGACCTACAACCGCGCATGTACAGTCTGAATTACAGTAATGGATATCGCAAGAGTGTTTTTCAATGTCCAAAATCCCCGACCTGTGGTCAGGATTGTTACTGATCACTTTTACCGCAATTCTACCAATATGGCTTCTCAGTCCAGCGCCGTTTTCTGCCCATAAAGAAATGAACAACAATTGTCCCGGTATGAAATTTACGGTAGTGTTGACATTTATGTTCTGAAGGTCTCCAATTGAATGTTGGGCTTGGGTTGCTCCACCTGTGACATCACTGTTGCTGTAGGAGGTCCCGATGGTAACGTAGTAGTTACTGATACCAGAATGGGGGTCTGCGAATCCAGTCCAAGAAAGATTAATGGAGGACACTCCATCCACTATAGTCCAAGTCAAAGGTTCTTGGAACCCCCCTATGTGAGGTGGAGAAGAATCCACCAGAACTGGTTCTGATGTTGATGACGTGCACAAACCTGCCGCGTTGCATGCGGTTACGCTCACAGTGTAAACATCACCGTCAGAGAATGTCTGATTCCGTGGCAAATTTAACTGAACAAAATCTACATCTCCTATCTCAACGGGTGGTATGGCAACACTGCCATCATGGTGAGTGTTTATGGTTACAAGATGGCTAATAACTGGGCTGTTGTCATCAGTGAACTTCCATGTGCACCTCAGCTGTGACGGATCAAATTGTGTACCGTTACGCCTGGAAACTTGAATATCCCGTAAGACAATTGTCGGAGGAGTGACAACATTGGGCGGGGTGCTGTCGGTTATCACGTACTGTGAGGACTGGTTAACGGTAAAACTTGCACCGTTTTCTACCAAAACTGTAGCATAGAGGCGGGTCGCTTCTGGAAGCTGTAGACCAGTTCCTATGGCAGATGATGCCGAGTAGACTTTAGTCATGTTCTTAATGTCACATATCTGAGGTTCTGTGCCAATACACCAGCTGTAGCGTTTAATGCCACTCTCTACGTCATGGAAACCAAACCATCTCACTGATACTGAAGACCTGTTAGCGATAGAATATTTGCAATAACAAATTTATTTTCAAATATCTTTAAATTCTGTCGTGGATCTAACCCGTAAATTCCCGAACGAAAATGCAGTAGTATCGAAGTAGTAAAGAAGCATTAAAGCAGTAGTGGTGTGGAGCATATTTGCAGTAGAAATGCAGTATAGCCTACTGCAATTCTACTCCACAAACTACATAGGTTTGTACAGAGAAGGAGCATTAATGCAGTAGATTAGCAGCATGATAGAAGCATGTTTCAAATATGCTAATTAGCTCCCACATCGAAGCAGATTTGAAGCATGTTTGCAGTATGATTGCAGTAGTCTACTGCGCTGGAGTATCTACTTTGTTGTGTATCAAAACAGGACATTCTGAAAACATTATTCTGGTTTTCCATAGTTACTAGACAAGGTGGCGTGTAGGACTCATAATGAAGGCCATGCAAAACGTTTTATTATCGATGGACCTTGAGGATATGATTCCTAGGAGTGGCACTCAGGTCAAAATAACCATTGGCGTAATGTACTACCGGTTAGTAGTATATGAACGTTAATCTCTATTCTAGTCAACAACATTGTTTGTAATTATAACGAGGTGAATTTTAAATTGGACATAATCTGGTACGCCATAAATTACCTTTCGGCTAGATAATGTGCATGACTCCCTTCAAACCCAGTCTCGACTTTGCCTGCAATCGGTGGAGTGACATCAGCTATCACGCCGTCAGATGTCGCTCTTGAACATAGGCCGACATTGTTACATGCCTCGACAGTGGCGATATACTTCACTCCTGGTTTCAGGTGATACCGCATACCGAATTCTGAAATGTATTTAAAAGTGAAAACTTTTTGTAATCGCCTCATCAAACACCACGTTTTATTAATGTGTTATTCGCAAACCATTTAAGGTCCACGTAGTAAAGCGAATTGATTCACATCTTACTCGCTTGAGAGAGCACACGTATTTTCTATTTAGATCTTCATAAGTGAAGCTAGACTGAACGGTTTTCTTAAATTGGCCGAATCTAAAATCGACCTTTGTCTATTGATTAATTTAGGTTACCTGTTCTGTTCCCTACAAGAATAAATGCTGGTTCTTGGTCTTCTTCATGCACGGCTACCTTGTATGACTGAACTCCAGAATGAGGGTCAATGAATCCGCCCCAGTTAACATATACGAGGTCTAATTTGCTCTGGTAGTCTATATCTTCCTATATGAAAATGAATGATATTCAACCGTTAGTGTCACCAACAGTGAGANGCACATAATGTACAGCACAAAGGAAAGGAACATTGCTAAATTACGTTAATAGGCCTACCTCTACATACATGTATAATCATTATAGAATTGACTCGTACACCTTTGTAAATTTCTGTTGTTTGTGGTATAACATTACACTTGTAGTCACATATGGATCATTGTATGTTACTAAAAGCAAATATACGTTAGAAAATGAGAAACAACTGAAAGTTACAAAGAAGCATGGAACCAAATGCCATTTGTTTAAAAATGATAATAATGCTCACCCGTGGTCCGTCTCTTACAAATCCTGCTATCGGGGGTGTGGAGTCATACAAAATTGGCGATGCGTGGCATGTCTGGTGCAGGTTGGCTCCATTCGTAACCTACGTCAGGTGATACCGGTAGAAAAAAAAGTAATTCAAATTCTTAACACGGTGGAAGGATGTGTACATAAATGTATTAAATATTCTAACATATGACAAAGGGACCTTACAAAGTGAATTAAGTTAATATCGCACCTGCACTTGAGCATAATACGAGTGACCGTCTAGAAGGGGCAGGTCTTCAAGGAAGGCTGTTGTTGACTGATAAGACGTGAAAGCCATGATGTCTTGTTGATGGGGACCTGATCCTATAGCCAGTGCAACACGGGAAACGCCGCTCTCGTCGTCTTTGATACCATTCCAATGAACCTGCAAGCTTGGACTTCCGGTTAAGGCAAAGTGTCTATGTGGAGAACCAACTAGGACTGTCCCGCAGTCAGGAGGTGTGGTGTCAACCATTATACCTTCCGAAGTCGCAAAGGAACTCAATCCAACAAAGTCAGTACCTGCAATAATACAAATAGACAAATAGACAAACTGCAAAAAAAGAAAACATACGCACATTATTTTATGGTTAAATTTTTAGGTATCCATATTGCGATTCCTTACCCTTGATAGTGAAATAATGCACCATTCCGTTGACGAGGCTTAAGTTGTTGACAATCACACGAGTTGATGTCTTGACGTCCGTGAATCGAACAACGTCTTGGCCATAAGGAGATGCACCTAAAGGGTAATAAAAACGCTTGCAATACATAGGGTTACCGTAAGCTTTATCTATCAATATATATAATGTACTGTAATAGTGTAATGGAAAGGTGGATTACAATAGTATCAGCGTATCACTTTTCCATATATGTATGTATTGAATTAAGCCTTTTGGTCATTACATAATATTCGTGCTCTGCCAATTTGTTTGAGCTTCTTACCTATGGCGTAGCTGTAGGATCTTATGCCTCTGTTAAAAAGGATTCCCAATTCATCCTTGTCAACAAATCCGTGCCACGAGAGCACAACTGTTGTCGAGTCCAGGAGGTGTCCATTCATGGAGTTCAAAACAGACACGTGACCTGCTCTGGGTGGCGTCCTGTCGATAATGAAACCATTGCTGCACAATTTCATTTCTGGTAACGTTTCGATGTGTTTTTCTCGCACGGTGACTTCTTCTTTTGCCAGGGCACACACATAGTATTGAAAGCCCTCAGACAGTTCTGCATTTTCAAGCCTTAGAACATTCCCATTTGTTGTTGTCAAATGGTGACACATTGGATCCGTCGCACAGTCATCTGGTATCTCAGGTTGTCTGGTGACAAACCAGGATACGTTGGAATGCTGGGAGCCGACTAAAACAGCCCCAAGAACAGAAGGATTGCTTATGAAGTCGACGTCGCGATTGCTGATTTCTTCAATGATCGGCCCAATATTGGATGCATGCAGCATGTGCCCGTATTTTTTTATGTCTTTCTGCCTGAGTTCAAGGACTGAAGGGACATTTCGCAAGGTGGGAAGCTTGAATGAAGTGGTAATTACGGATGACAAACCATTTTTGCCGAATCCTTGAAGAAGCACATACAACTGACGTCTATTGGGCAGCGCAAGTGCTATCGTTTGACGATCCTAAATACAAATTCAAATTCAAAATTCAGTATTGACTGACAACATGTCATTAGCGCTTTCCTTCTCAATATTTGTAATATTCAGTTATACCAGTATGACAAAGCTAAACGAAAAAACAAACGTTTGATTCGTGACAAAATGACTTTAATTTGAAAATGATTTTCAACGTAGGTTAAACATACCTCCACAGAAGATGCGTTGGATATTTTGACAAACCACTTGCAATCTGTTTGTGCGTGGTCAGTGTACGCTGATACTGTCCATCTGTAATGACTGACAACACAGTTGTCTAAGAGGATAAAGCGCTCCCATTTGATATCTATCTCCATCTCTATGTTGGACGAAGAAGTTCGCCGCCCAGAAGCATTAACTCTGAGTGAGCCGCCAAAAGGAGCCCTCTGGTAAATCATGACCCCGTCCGAACGTGACTCAGGGAGACAGACAGCGTGAAAACATCGACGCACTACCAAAAAGTAGCGGCGACCGACTTGAAGATTGAGGTTAGAAAATGTATATCCAGACCGTGTTCCGGTAATCACAAAAGGGGTCACAAATGAGGTGGTGTCACAGTCTGTTTTGTCATCACTGCATTCAGCTTGAGCCACGGCACATTCAAAATGGAACAGTGGTTTAGGGATATCTTCACCAAAGTACCAATGACCCGACATTGTTGTCGCTGAAGCTTGGACCGAAAGACCAACAGCACAATTTGAAATTGCATAGCCATGGATATTAACCGTCATGTTGCCGCCATTCCGTAGGACAAAGGAAATATTTTTTGTCATAGGGAAAATTGTAACTGAAACAATCTGTCCAAGAACAGCATTTGACCATACTTCCGTTTGCTCTAAGCTGTACTCATTCGAGGTTGGGAACAGTAAATTAGGTACATCTGACCGGTTCACTGAAATGTTGAGCCAAACAGTATAATAAGAGCCGACTTGGTAAGTGAACAAATCAGGCAGTAATTTATTTTCTCCCGGAGTAATTATCAGTGATGGCTTAGAGGTGATTTCAGGCACCCTACAGCTTGTACCGTGAAAAACCCTTAGTGGCCCGTACACTTTCGGATTGATGATAATGAATCCGTCTGAGGATGCAGATACAGTACCGGCGGGTGTACTGGCATTCACTGTAAAGAAGAGTTTCATGTCATGGGGCAGATCGTTTGTATGCAAACAAAAAACTGTTCCATTCGCGGGTAAAACTTCACTATAAGGCATTACATCCATTCCCCCTGGCCTTTCCCCGAGACCAACGGAGTAATTGACAACGGCTTTATGGTGTTCAAAACCTCGCCAGGCCGCACATACTGTGCTCGGAGCGAGAATAAAGTCCCTGTCTTCCAGTGTGTTATTGGCGTCGATATCATAGACTTGACCTATTGCTGGTTTCAGGGCTGTTGGAAGTTGAAAAGGGTTTGAGGCAACGACGCGTGAAAGACCTGCCGCATTTGTGACTCTGGCAAATATGAAAAAGTCGTTTCCAAATTCACGTTCATATTCCTGAAGTTTAAACAGTCCTACATTTTCGCAGAAGTGTGTGGCATTTGAACAAGCACCTTTGGCTAGCTGAAAGTGCTGTACAGACTCTTCCACATTGTGCGTACCTAGGATTACAAAGGAAATTACTTTTAAGTAATTTCACATTTAATTAAAATTGCATACATACATATCTATGCATTTTCATTTAAATCAATTTCATAACATTCGGTCTGGTGTAAAAATGCGGTGATCAGTTAAATATACAATTTAGTAATACCCCCTTTACACTGGACGGCGTCCTTTCTGCCTCCTTTCTGCGACCATGAAATTTGGCACCGCTGTGGTCTTAATAAGGAGACACGAGCATTGATCTCATTTTGCATCACATTGAATGCTCAATGATCGGCCAATTGTCGGCACGTAAAGTATTATAATTTTTTAACCTTCAAATGGGACCGTACTGCTGGACGCAGAAAGGACGCCGTCCAGTGTAAAGGGGGCTTAACTCAGTACATTTTGTTTCATTGTCAGGCAATGTGTACACATTCTTTCGCTACATATACACATTTATGGGCAGAATGAGGTGAAAATACAGGCAAAGTAAACTCACCAACCGCTATCTCTACTGTTGCTCCTTTGTCGTCTATCAGTTGATCTTTACCCCAAATCACCATGACGCTGCTGTCAAGAATACCCACTGTCGGCTTCCCAACGAACATGGGTGGTAATTCGTACAGACGAATGGGTCCTAGTGATGTGACGTCTGATAAGCCTGCTTTATTTGTTGCTTTGATCACGAAAAAGAACCGTGACGTATCCCCAAGTCCAGAATGTGTTCTTTTAAAATAGGTGTGGTTGTGAGTTGAATGAAACCCTACAATATCTGGATTTAAAATATTTCCATTGCTGGACGATATACCGATTTCAAAATCATATATTTGACTTTCCTTATCATACGCCTTCCAGAGCAGATTAACAGCGTCATTTGGTAAAGCGATCTCGAAGGAGATATTTTGAATTTCTTTGCACATTTTGTTTATTTCTGTTCGGTTGTTCACCTCTTTGTCTGGAAAAATGGAAACCGGGACATCGCGTAAACACCGTTGAACACAGGCTGGTTCTCTTCCCGGGAGCTTGGCTTTCGTTAAGTTATGTGCCAGTAGCCAAATTGTGTCCCCGTCACATACTACAGTATCGCGAATACGTCCATTTGTTAATTGAACATTGTAGATTGCCGGTGGGGATGTGTCTATAACAATGCCATCAGAGCAGGCAACTTCTGAAGGCTCCATCGCGTTGTTAAATGCTATGACTGACAGTACGTAATGGCCCGGCTGTGGTGCAAGAAATGAGGTTGATGTTAGGGTAGTCAATTTAGTCTCATTTCCAGGCAGGCATTTCAGAAGTTGTTCTTTGGAAAGACACTGTGGTGATATCGAAACCTTATACGTGGATATTCCACTTTCGTGGTCATAAAAACCATGCCAATGACCATGTATGGCTAAATCGGTTTGAAAATCTCTGTCTTTTCCGGATGGACCATCAAAGACGGTACCAACCATTGGAGGCGACTCGTCTACGTGTACAACCAGGGTTTCGGTGGTCATAAGTTTGGCGTTATTGATTACTTCAATAGTGAAATGATACTTGCGATTATGCTGCCCTCTGTGTGTCCTACGAGCTACAAGGGAGTGAAGCCCAATGGTGTAGTTGTAAAATTCGCATCGGCCGACAGCTGGACAATAATTGCAGTGTGGTTCGGGGTGTTCATCCTGCAATGAATCGTGTATGCATGAGATGCGTTACATAAGTGCCATAATCCCAAATTTACACGGAAAACGACACAGCTTTTCATAACCCATGTATACTGAGTCAGAGTATGTATCCTAAGCATAGTTACTTACAGAATAAGCCCAATTAACTTACCTTATAGGGAGAGACACTCAAGGACCCATTCCCAATGTCGCTGCTGTATTGTTCGGTGCCTAGTTTCCATTTGACAGAGTACAGCCCGCTTTCTGGATCTTTGGCGTCAAACTGGAGTGTCATTTTGGAGAGATCCGTTCTGTTGTGGACATAGAGCTGTTTATGTCCATCCCTTACCAACCACATGTTAGAAATCTCAGGTTCCGAGCTGTCAATGTGGACTGTGACATTGTCCACAAAGGTATTGTTCATTATATCTATAGCTTTGATCCAGAATTTGTAGCTTTCACCGTCTCTTGGACTTACCTCCGATACAGTTAATACTTGTGACGTGAAGTCTGGAACGCTGTGGAAGGTCTTGATGGATGACTGCGAAGGAAGCTGTCGTTGAAACGAGTACTGGAAGTTAATAATACCATGAACATTCAATGTGCCGGTAACGGGAATGTCACCGGTGGTTTGATCATACACACCAGATATGCCTATGTTCTTACGTATGGGTCGTAACAAATTGTGGTGAAAGTGATGTGTGTTATGAAAATGGCCTTTCCAATTCAGTTGCACCGGGCGATGGTTAACTTGCCACAAGTAGTTTGTTTCTGGATTAGCTGAGGTCACTGTGATGGGCTTATTTTTGTTGACCTCTACTACAGAGCTGTTATCAAAGAGAACAAACCGACGGGCTTGTTTCACATTGCCCGCAACATCTTTCACGGTCAAAAGAATAGAGTATAGTTCAGGTTGGTCAGGTAGACTAATGACAATGCTTTCATTGGTTGTAATGCTTTTTAGTGTACTTTCGTGTTTCACCATAAGAGTTCCATTGCCACCATCTGCAACCTTATGGATGTGAACCTCATAATGTTCAACACCTGATGCGTGATCAGGAGATGCTCGGTAGGGATCAAACCAACCATGAAAAGACAGTGACATCCAAAAGTCCTTCGTTATACGCTGGTCGATATACAAAGGGTCAAGGGAACAGGGCCTTGCACCTGCTGCACAATGTGCTGGTGGCATGGAATCAAATCTCATACACACTCGTTTTGATGCTGTGGTATCAGTGTAGCTGTAGCGGGTGCTGAGCGGTACACTGTTCATAGCATCATATGGTACGAAATATCCACCCCCTTTAGCTTCAAATCGTAGGCACAATCTGACAAAGAAGAAAAAAAGAAATAAATAACATGCTTGTTAATTCACTGAAAAGTGTTAAGCGCACATACACTGTAGCTGAAAAATCATAACTCACCGTTCTTCGTTCTTTAAAGTGGCTCCAGTGTATCTCAGGGTTTGTCTGCAAGTAATAGGTCCTCCATATGGGGTTGATCGATCAAACTTATGTGTACACCACTTCGCATTTTGCAAATTAGTTACGGTGTTTCTGATATATGATCCTGTGTGTTAGAAAACGTGAATGCAATGTTACAAAATCAACAAAGTAATATGTTAGTCCAAACCGATGCAAAGGCGCAATACTATCGTAAATGAAATTTACTACTGACCTAAGATTGCCTATTGGTTAGAGATGCAATGGGGACAGAGACATAGCCGGAAATATATGCCCAAAGAATAACTCAATATACAAATACAGTTACATATGCAATGCACTTGTGGATAGCAAAAATGATAAATGAATACGAGTGAAAATACCATCAACTTGTTGGGTTCCTAATGCAACAACGCCTCCAGTGACACCAAAATGAGATTCTGTTATTCTCTTTGGAATGGCAGGGATTCCGTGCACTTGGAAATGGAATTCAAAGTTGTAACTCATGGATGTCGGTTGAAAATTTATAAAGGTGTCTCTGACGTTCTTGCATTCTCTTGGCATTCCTTCGGGAATTGTTGAATTTGCAATTTCGTTAAATTTGGAAACCACGCCGACGTCGCAAGTTGTCATGTCCGCTTTTTGTTGCACTAGAAAATCAAATGTCATCTTGTAAAAACGCAAATAGAACCAATTTGGTCCAATCATTTGGGTTATAGAAGATGAATTTGAATCAAAAGACTTTGAGAACTTCGCAACAGAGGAATTAAAACACATTGGCAAGGAAATCAATATAAATAAGGTCATTTTCACCCCCTAACAAGGTCATCGGTTTGTTTAAACTATAAATTCGCAGATATGTCTCTGGCTTATTAATGACACAGTTATCTACTACAGAGAAATAGACATTTAATCTGCGGCCGTTGAGAGCGTTTTTTTTTTTTTGTTGTTGTTGTTTTTGTACGTGATGTTATTATACACGTCAATGTTAAGCAAATCGTGGTATGGTACGCACCCCCGTATCCCCCAAAATAGAGTTTAACTTTATGTGTGCTATATTGGGTGGAGAAAGAAAACGTCCCAAAACTCAAACCTACAGGGTATACCAAAAACTAACCAACAAAATCAAACGAATAATTATCTAATACTGACCATTAATATGTTGACAAGTCATTCAGTCATGGAGAATCTTGACCGTATTAGCAATGTACACTGTTTGTTATACAAACCTCTCGCATTGCAGCATGTCCATCCAGAAAATTTTGTAGGTGCTTAGGGTCTCAACGGAGGCTGATAAAATGACTGTATTTTGGACGTTTGGGAGGATATATTTCTAACAGAAATTAAAAGGATAATCACTCTTCGTATGAAATTTATATTTCACAATAAATACATTGTGAATATAATATATCTTGTTTTACCACAAAAATGGCAGTTATAACTATTATTATGATAGCTGAGCTTGTCTTTACACCACGTGACCTCCATTGATGACTATAATCTGTTATAATCTCTTAAGAGATTATTACATAAAAAAAAAGAAAAAACTTTTAGAAAAAAAACAGGGACTAACTTTGAATGTAAAAATGGATTCATTAACCATTGGTAAGTATGGGAAAATTGTTGTTTACTCCAGGAAAATTCATTTTTTGGCCAAAACGAAGAGTTATTATCCCTTTAAGGGACGTTTTATTATAGGAAAAGAGACCAAGAGCGACATGCTGGTGTGCAAAGTGTATCAGCCTTTTTAAAAGAAATAACAGATGAAACCCCAAAAAGCCAATATCAACAAAGGAACGGTGCAACATGCTACATATGAAACATAGAATTATTGGGTGATATGTCATTGAATTACCATTGATAAATGATGATTTTTACAAGTCGAAAATATTCGAGGGGTTTTTCTCTACCCAATAAAAGCGGCTATACAAGACACAAACGCATATAAAGACATAAGAAATCCCGCCAAAAGAGGATGAGATTGCATATTTATTCAGTGGAACAGTAAGACTGATAATTTTGACATGTATTTCCCAAATTAGTGTCAATGAAATGTGTATCATAAACTTACGCTGACATCGACCGTTGCTGTTACTAAAGCCCGTTATGCAAGTGCACCCAGATTTCAGTCCACCGGTACAGTTTCCTGGCCAGCACTGGTACTGGTTCCAGGAGCACGTAGCTGAAATACAACACATCTCAGTCAACTGAACGAACCTTAAGAGTGTAAAAAGATTGTACATTTGTGAATTCTAATTAACTCGGCATAAAGAATCCCGCATAATTCAAAGCAAGAGGGGACCAATGTCTCAAGACAAAACATGGTGCAGTTTTACAATAAATGACACAGTAGTTTTGCAATAAGTGAGACTGTATTTCTTTTGCGTTGATCCCTGCATTAACTTTTCTGTCCAATTACAAACACTAAGACGCGTATTTATATTACAGTTATACTACTCTTGGTTTATATCGAAAGTTCAAATTGATAAATCAGACAGAAGTGTTTTGCCAAATGTTCATTTAAAAAAAAGAGAGAGAAAATCAGGTCAACACAAAAGTACGCCATAGATTCAACTCAGAAATTATCCCCAAATTGGTTATATCCCTTGTGCATGTATATTTTTACCAACACAAAATATCAAAACATTTGCTACGTGATTGGAATTTCTTTGTTACTTGATTGTGACAGCATTTTTAGAAATATTAAAATCCAACCCCATGTTTCCTGTGGCAAAGAGCAATTTTCTCCTTTCCACAAATATATCTACAGACTTGACATTTAATATGGAACCTTTTTTTCCAAATCAATTTTCTATATTTCCAACTTTTCCGACCTTTAAATGAAATCAATGTGTTAAATATTGTTTAATAACTTTAAATTATCTATTCAGTGTAAATATGACATAAGCTCTTTAACTGAAATCACCTAATTAAGCAAACAAAAAAGCCGGGTTCAACCATAAAAAAGTGTAATTTCAGTCTCTATAATTTCGAAGATACCGTATGTGAAAGAGTGCTACAGGCTCTACAAAGGACACTCATTACTGTCTAGTCACACCAGTGATCAGTGGTGTGTCTGGCCTCATCTGGCTGCTACAAAGGCTCTAAATCGGCAAGGTGTTCCCTCAGATATTTTCTTGGAGTTTAAACTGGAATAATATTCCCGGCCTCGAACGGAACTTGTCCAGTTTTGTTTAGATTTGTTGTAGGACCAGTAGGCCGTTCATTTGGCTAGACCTGGCTACCCACAGATTGTCTATAGGCCTCAAATCTGGCGATTCTGATACCCGCGGTATAGCTGCTCAGGTCCTTGGTTCTGCAAGCAATCTGCAAATGATGCTCTGTGTGGATGGGCATCATCGTGTGAAGTGATTTGTTCCTGATGTTTACCCTAGCAAATGGTAGGCAGTTGGTTCTTAGAATATACCTTGGTTCTGATACAGTTTTCTATCGATGACTACAATGAGGTGTTGACACCTCATTTCTCCCGAAATACAGATGGTCCTACAGCTCAAGTCGCTTTTGGGGCGACACACGTTTAGGCGTAGGCCTCTTGGGAAGGTCTGTAAACTCTAATTTGACCATCCAGATAAATCTGACCTCATAAGTGAAGCCATATGTTTCCATTGCTGTGCTCAGAAACGTTCATGGTTCCCAACTCATTCAGAAATACAAAGGCGATGTTGGGCTTTGGGCTGTCCCGCTGTCCGCGAGGCTGGCGATAACAATAATGGGCCTTGAAAAGCGTGACAATTTGCCCCTTGTTTTGAAAGGAACTTTTTTTTAATTATTTGTAGCAGCAAAACTGTACTAACAATGGATCCTGGCGGAACTCATGGTTTTAGTCCCGACCCGTCTCGTACGGCTCCGCCGGCTCCGCAGGGTGGTGTGGGATTCAAGTCACCGTTACCGCTTCTCCTCCTAAACCGCAAGGACCTGTGTCTCATCTCTTAGATTTAGGTCACTTGAGATTTTTTGTCTCAGTCGGTGCATTGGCCTGGGCGTGACGCTCGTTGAAACGCACCCTTCTCAAAGTTTTCGAGAACTCGTCTTTACTGGGTTTTGTGGTGGTGTCCCTTTTTTATTTCCTGCGAATGTGCTTTCTCCAGCTGGTTGTACCCCTGTACAATACTTGGAGGCGGTATCGCCTCTCTGATCCTCTAGATTCTAGTATGATTCAAATTTCAAATTTTATGGAGTCTACAAATTGCCTCCTATAGCTGTGACATTGTCTGCTTTCGAGAAATAAGAATTGTCGGTCAGAACGCAGAAGTTGAAAAAGCTATTCCGTATCATTTCGCTCAAAGGGTTTTCTCATATGCATTACCTGAAATTAACCTTCCTACGATTTTAAATGCATTTGCGATTTTAAATGCATTTTGCAATATCATTTCACCATGTGGAGTATATGGAATCCCTTGGGGTCACATATAAGACTAAAAATATCAATCCCTTTACACTATAAGAAAAATATACATCATTTTTAGCAAATTATGGTGCATTAAGCTTTTTATACACAAGATCAACAGAACATTCCCAATATGCTTTCTTAAACGGTACCTGGAGGCAAATAAAATGAAATCAACTAGAAAACATGGCAGTTTTGTTTATTTCAAAACACGCGCTTTTTGCGCACTCACAAACGTTTGACAACTGCGCTCCCTTACCTAGGCACTGTTTCTTGTCTCCAGACATCCAGTATACTGATTTTTCAACTTCGGTAGCTTGATCAGCGCATTTAAGGCATATCCCACCACCGGTAATAAAGCACTTCACACGAAGACAGTTGCTAATGTGTGGGCATCCTGAAGCGACAATTTTTATTTATTGA